TGAATGGAAAAATTCCCACATTTTTCAATAAACAAAAACCAAACAAAAATCATATTTTTTAAATATCTTTCAGATTTGGCGTTAAGATAGCAGAGAGAGAGAGAGAGAGAGAGAGAGAGAGAGAGACTATGTTAGGAGTGAAAAATTGTTATTAAATTATTTATTCCCACCATTTCTTGTCTGCAATTCATTTATTATATTAAATAGTTTTTTTAGTGACACAAGAATTAAATCTCACAAAACACTAACACTTATTCAATACAAAAGCGAGTTTTTAATTGAATTTTTGTTAGATCTGTTGAATGCCTTCATATTTTTTGTTGTTACCTGCTTATAATATATTATATTGTATTCATATGTGTAATCCATTAATAATTATACTGAAGGCTTAGAAAAATATAATATTTTCTATCGATATATAAGACCATTATTTTTAATGATTTTTCAAATCTCTCTCTCTCTCTCTCTCTCTCTCTCTCTCTCACCCCTTCCCTATCAACACATATATCTTATCTCTATATATCATACATATATCGCATAAATATATATTTACACAAAAAATGTAATAAATTACGGAATAGTTTATAATTAAATGAGTGTTTCGAGAAAAATCACTTTTAATATGTTTATGTCATTCAATGGTATTTCAATTATATACACACATAAGCAGACAGTGATCTTATCGTAGACACAATCTGTCTCTCAATTAATTATATCATGTCTTGAGTCGAGAAAAAGTATTAAATTATTTAATATATAAACACTATTTTCACGTCTACTCTAAATCTGGTGATGAAGTGCTCGCCTAATATGATATGAATTTTTTCGGGTTTTCGGTTCACATATCGTGTATAATAAATGACTACAGAATCTGCTATTCATATACAGTGTACGAGACGTTGAGTTTTAATAGTGTATATGAAAACTGTTTATAACCAGTATTTTGGGTTAATGTGTGCGAGGATTGAATTAGATGTTGGATATTCTGTGCGAATATATGAACTACCAGTCCCTCTATGGCTAACTGTGCGACATCTTTGCGTTGATTTTGAAATTTATTTTTTCGCTTTTATTATATTCAGTAACAGAATCACCAAAGGTTTTGCAGAATTTTATTATCATAATTAAGTTTTCTATACATGCTAATATTATTCACATGAATAATATAAATTAAGTTATACATTTATGCAAAATTTATTTATGCTAATTATTAATTGTACAATATCTTGATTATGATAGATATAAAACTTTACACAAATAGGTACATTATACTAATAATGTATTTTTAATTGAATTGATTATTTGAGATTTGTTTGCGATTTCATGTCAATAGTAATTAAATATGTTAATGAATTGCAATTAAAAATAAATAAAAAAATATAATTCACTTTAAAATTAAAGACTAAACATGGTAAACATTTTTTACACAAAAAAAAGTAATAAAACAATAATTATTTTATATCCAATGAATGAATAGTTTTTATTTGAAAAGACCTTTATATGAGTATTTGATTTAAGTGTAAAAACTAATTCAAAACTTTTTTGTATTTTATTTTTTTAAAACTGCATAATAATAGAAATAAAAAACTTTTTGAAAACTTGTGTCAATACGTACGGTAAGTATAAAGACTTTTTGGTATTGAATTGTATTTATATTTTTCAACAAAATTACATTTAAAATGTTTTCAATTAATTCTGAATCACGCGTCAAATTGTATACCTATTTGTGTATATGTTTTGTGTTTTATTTTTTACGATTCAATTGAAAAATTACTTTTTTTGTCTTTCAATTCAAACAATGATTTGTTGCAAATACGGAGAAAAATCCACACTTTTTTTGTGTTTTGTTAAAATATATTCAATCACTTCATTATATGCCGTAAAACGTATTGTAATTATATTTTTCGCATACAAAATGATATTGAAAAATGAAAATTGTTTTTTATCTAAAATATTATACATTTGTATTAAATATAGTCGAGAGAGAGAGAGAGAGAGAGAGAGAGCTATTGTCTTATTGTAAAAAAACTTTCCATAAAATGATAGCAAAAAATAATTTTCTAACTCCTATTGTGTTATCATTTTTATACTTCTTATGAGAAATTAATTGCAAAATAATAGGTATTTTGAGAGAAACCAATAGATGACTCATTCATACGTAAGATATACAGCGATAATAATAATAGCATAACAAACGGCACCACCATATATAACATGATGCAAAACACAGGTATTTAATATATTAATACGAAAATTATAATACAAAATACATGAGTGAGTGGCCGGGCGTGTGGTGTGGAGTGTGTGCTAAAAGCCTTGAGCCCCTGTAGAAAATCATAGCTTAACTAATAGTCTTTGATATAAAAACGTTTTAAAACACATGACATAACACACCTGAGCGGGTATATAATACTGGGCGCACAGGTAGGCAGGTATGTGTGGTGTGTTTGTTATGGCAATTATGGGACTAATGGTAGTGAGGATTAGTTGTGGTGTTTGAATGCTGGATGAATTCAATGCCAATTGTCTATTGTGTACGGGATTTAAATTATACATTATATGAGAGAGAGAGAGAGAGAGAGAGAGAGAGAGAGAGAGAGAGAGAGAATCTTAATACAGTTTTCTATGATTTCATATCATTTAACATTATGTATAATATGTTTGAACACAATCTCACGACAAAAATGATAGATTAATATTTTTTGATATCGTTTTTCTAATGAGTAATACCTTTCCAATTGTATTGCAATTAATAATTACGGGACTCAGACATAGGCTTAAGAAATATAATTAGTATTTTCACTGCAATTGTTTTCGTTTATCGTATTTATCCCACACTTCATACACAATGTTTTGTTTAATTAAATCCATTGTTAGCGTAATATTTAAGTTTTTAAAACGATTTTTCGTGTAAATGATGTATATTCTGCATACCTTTACATAATGTTACTAATTATTTATATTTTGCATATTTATATTTAATATGCTTAAGTTTTAATTGTTTTACTTAATCTCTATTTTCCGTTTAAAATATATTAAATATAATGCAAAATAACATATTAGGCAAAGTTTTATTTGTGTATAAAATTTAAATAATGAATTAAATTTTAACTAGAAATTGTGAAATAAGATATAAGAGGTGGCGAAATATATTTTATTTTTAAACACTTGACTACATAATGGCACCAAAAATATTATGCATTATTTACGAATTGAAAGAGTTTACAATAAATATATAATTTTTAGGATTTTGTTGGCGAATAAGCTATATTATTGATTTTAATTAATTAAACATACTGTTTAACAAAAATATTTGCTCAGATCAATCATTAGGGACATTTAGAAAACTTAATATTTCATCATAATATCGTATATTATATTGAGCTAATTGTTAGCATAATAATATCAAATGGAAGCCATTATAGTGTGCAAATTCTGTTAAATATAGACTTGTAGACAATGAACAAGGTAATATTAGTACAAACTTGATTACCAAAAATGCCATTTCTACAATTTGTTAATATCATAATAGTTATGTTTGAAAAAATTTAAAATTCTTATTCTTGTTTAAATAAGGTATAAATTTAATCCGCAACATAATACCCAAAGCTGAACATATAATTTCAATTTAATATAAATATAATATTAGTAATAGTTAAATTTAGTAAAAATGATATTAAATATTTACATAAATTCACATATTTTATGTATAATAAAATTGTTTGATATAATTGGTAATTAGGGAGAGAGCATAAATCCATAGAAAGTTTTAATTAAATTATTAGTAAAATTCTTTAATTAAATTCTACATTAAATATTTTGCAATATCATTGCCATTAAGCAATTACTAACTAGAAGAATATTTTGTATTATTGAGTTCTTTAAGTACACAGTTTATATAAATTATTGTATAACAACATGTTATTTAGCGTACATTAACTTATTTTTCTATAATTAATATATTATTTAAGTTCACTATTATATCGAAATTATTATCTATTTATTAATAAAGTTGTATTTTCTGTAAGCTAACAAAGATAGCTAATAATATATTCATTAATTGGAAAACAAGTTGAATAAAATAAAAATTACAAATATAACTACGAATAATAATATCTAACTAAAAATAAAATCATTTTTCCATTAGGTAAAGTTGGGATTAAAAATAACCGGGGACACCTGGGGATTATTATTATTTAATAAACCAAAACAAATATTAGAGGTAATAATTTAGCAGTTTAGCAGTAATTAGTAGTTGACATATTAATTAGGTTGTCTAACCCATTGTTAATCAATTTAATAGAGTACAATCATTTTATAATTTGTCAACACAAATAAAACGAGTTTTAACCATTAATCAAGCAATATTTATATATACAGTAATTATATTATTTTTTTTTGTTAAAACACCGATTCCTTGAGATTCCTGCCTATCCTTGAGGTTCTGGGTATGTCTGGTATGGATCCCATGTTTCTTATAATAATGCACTTTATTTAATACTGTTTGCGTTGTATGTTTCAATCTTTTTTAGTAAGGGCTACTTTTGGACATCAATTCATTGAAATCCAATTCAATGACTTTGATTTCATTGGTGCAGAGGATGACAAAAACCTTCAAATAATGGGTCCTCAGATGCAATCAAAACTGATCCGACTTATGGCATACTTGGGATCAGTTGTTGCCCAAGTTTATAGTTTTCAATAATATATTACAAATGAGACAATTCTTTAATTAAATTCTACAATAATATACTAAAAACTAATTAATTTGAAATACGATTGCTCTTAAGCAATTACTAATTACAAGAATATTCCGTATAATTGAGTTTTTAAGTACAAAGGTTGAATAAATTAACATACATCAACATGTTTATTGAATGTACATTAATTTATTTTCAATAATTAATTAATACATTATTTAAGTTTACTATTATATTGAAATTATTATCCATTTATTAATTATGTTGTATTTTCTGTCAGCTAACAACAAGTAGCATAAAATGTCGGCTAAATTAGAGCCTACTGTCCACCGGATGCCCATTAGTTTCATCCCAGACATAGACCAACCTCTGTATAAATTTGGACTTTTATATCGATACTATTTGAACGACTATTTCACGACAAATACGGCCAAACATTGGATACAAAAACAAAAATTCATTATTTTAATCGTATTTGAGTTCATATTTTTCTTACACTTTGTGACAGGACTGGTATATATCGGCCCCGACGGTAGACTTCCTGAATATTTGTGTGAATTTAGCGCACATTTCGGTGGTTTACAGCTATTTTGGCAGATAATCGGCTCAATAGAGTCACTCTATTGTCTCGTAGTCTTACTATTACTTAATTATAGCCGCTATTATGAGTGGTTTGATGTCATCAGGGTACTAAAAGGTGTTAAACCTTTGATATCAATCGGTTTACGGCACCGGGATCGCTATGAATACATGCTATTTGTCCGCAAATGTAGGTATTTATACAGAGTGGTCACACTAGTGGTCAAAAGTAACATTATATCTCTAACCCTGGTCACGTTATCCGCAATAATTGTATTCATAATGTTTAACGTAAATTACAATTTGTATTATGCTATTATAGGTGTCATTAAATTTGGTGTGTATTTCATATTTTGTTGTTTCATAAACTTTTACGTAATGCTATACTTTTTCATCATTTGCTACTATTATAAACTGAGACTAAAGTTATTTGTGACAAATATTCAACATATTATTGACCAGAATGTGCTCATAAAACACACAAAACTAATGAAACTCATTGTGCGATACAATAGTATTTGCAGTGATATCGGGGTTTACAACAAGTTTTGGTCGAAATACTTATTTCTGTTCACGTATTCATTAATTCCGATTAATTTATTACTTATTCATCAGTTGCTGTTTGAAAAGATAATTGTGTCCATACATGTAATTATAGTGACATTCCTGTCCGGAACCATTGGCTCGCACTATACTATCAACGCGATCACCGCATCAATTACCCGGGACGTGGTCCACACGTATGACTATTTACACAAATTGGGTCTCAAATGTGGCCATAGGTTTAGAGTGAATGATAAGATTAAAGTGAGTATTGATTTTCGGTTTACTACATGTGATAGTTTGGTGTCTAACAGAATATTCTGTGTTTTTTAGTTACTGAATACTATGGAAAGGCTGCACGGAATGAGCGTTAAAATAGGCTTTTCCTGTAGTCAACAGTTTGTTATGACGCCAATGGTTGCGTTTAGGGTTTGTATTCAAATGATTAAATATTTATACCTGGTTGATTTTTATATAATTGTATTTTATTAATTCTTTCAATAGATGTTTGTGCTATTCGTCCGATTTTTTATATTAACACAGAAAATGTCATTAAAAATAAAGAGTATTTAATTTTGGAAATAAATTTTAAAAGAAGTTTTAAATGTTGTAATATGAGCTAGTTTAAATTTATTTTTTTAATACAGTATGTTATTCTAAATTTGTTAATTGTTTTTATTATTAAAGCCATTATTAATAATTATTATTGCAAATTTTATTATATCTAATTTTAGAAATAAAACATTATGAATGTTATCTTTATAATATAGTTTTTAAATTTATTTTTGCCATTGAATTATATTTAATATATAATATATTGTATTAATTTGAACAGAATTTGTAATAAAATATTTATTTCTTCTTTATTTCGCTATTTATAAGCAAATGTCACGAGAATTATAGCTATAGTTTTGCTCGCATTTGACGGATTGTAAGCCAAAATATACAGAATATTTTTGATAGAAAATATAACCTATTTTATAACATATACTGTACAATGAATACTGTATAAATCTTATCTAGTTTTATCAAGTGTATAGTCAAGTGAATTACATAAGTTTATTGAATGTCTTTTACTAGTAATTCAAAGATTATTTAAAGATTAATACGAATTGGGATTATATGTCAGGAAAAGAAAATATTATAAATATAAATAAACACACCGGTGCTCACTGAGAATTGTATGTATTACTCGTATAGAGTCCAGGACTATGGAGTCCATAGTATAGACCCAGGGATGTTTTACAAATAATTTAAGTGAAAGGCACTTTACTTGATCCGGATTATATTTATACAAAGTGTATTTAAAGTATGTAATGAACTCAACGTTTTAGCATTTACAAATCATTTGATTATTATTTAGCCTAAAAGTAAGTCGATAATAAAGCTCAGCTTAATAACATAATTTTAATTATCATACTTTTTATTAAGCTGAATAATAATTTGTTATATTTATATTTCTAGTTTTAAATATTATTAATTAACATGTTTTTAGTGATTGTCAGTTATTTATAATGAATAGAAACTATAAATATGTAAATTCTTATTAATATATTTGCAAATAGTTCATTAATCATTTAATTCAAGCTTATTGTCATTATAGTACAGAATTTGCGAAAGAATATTCTGTGTGTTATATACACTTAATATACTGAAGCACTTTAATGATGGATTAGTGCATTCATTATTAATAATGAGTATAAATAGCAGAACTATTATAATGTATAGTGAGTTGACACCTATCGAGATAATTTTATTATTATACTTATTATCCAATTATAATGTCAACGCAAGTGGCAAATAAATATCAATTATCAACTAAGAGCACCGGTAGCATGGATTACATAGATTTACCGCTTTATAAGTTTGGTCTCCTATACACACATGATTTAAGGGATTATTTCGGCACAAAGTATATGAGACGTAAACAGCGACTAAAATCATACACATTATTGTCGATACTATCCATCAATTGATTGCATTATTTCATATGTCTATTAAATGTAAGGAATGGAGAACTTCCAGAATATTATTGTGAAATAACCCAATATTTTGGAGGTTTAACAGAGTTTTGGTTATTATGTGCCATATTTGCATTGACACAACAATTGCTATCATTATGTCTATTGAATTATAGTCCATACAATCGGTGGCTAAATGTGATATTAATTTCGATGGACAGTCATGTTTTTGTTACTTTTATTATCGGTTTAATTATATTGAGATGTTTGTGCCAGTCGTATAAAATGATAAAGGTTAAGTTATAAACTTTTATCTTAATGGTATTTATTTGATGAAAATATTTTTAATAAAATCTTGCTATACTTTTATAGAAAAATTAATTTAATTATCTATTCTATGATATTTTAGCATTCAATTAAAATTCATAATATATTTAGTTTTATGTTTGACGTACGATATTTCAAGCCGTATGACCTGTATGAAAAATATTGTGATTTAATAAAGATCATGTTTTATTTAATAAGATTTATTTTTGTTAGTATTAAAACCATATTAAGTTTATTAAGTACAGAGTATACTAGTAGGTATTCTACTATTAGGTATATCTGAAAGACCAAAATGAGATCGGCCTCTGAAAAGTTGCTTTTATTTCTTATTGAAACATTGCTTTTATGTAAAGTTTGAAATTTACTTATATTAAACATGATAAATTTCAAACTTTACAGAAAAGCAATGTTTCAAGAAGAAATAAAAGCAACTTTTCAGAGGCCGATCTCATTTTGGTCTATCAGATATTAGTATTGCAAGATATTTTGGAGATTAGTATAAGTGATTTTGATCCGAAACAGATCGTATCTATATAAATTATTCATATTTTTTCAAAATAGCTTATGTATCCTGCAAAATCACTTGAGACTGGGTCGCATCATAACAAATTGTGCACATTTATAAAATACCTTGAATAAAATATTTCGAAATTATTATGAAATATAGATAGTAGTCGTTTGATATCATTTACTCAACGGAATAAATTTACATTGCTTTGCAATACTGAATTATAATATAGTACAAATATTATTTTCACAAATGTTATATTTAGTTTGATGTAAAATAAACACCATGTCAAACTCAAAAACTCATGTTTAGATTATGAATTCTTAGTGTTACTATAAAGATATAATATATTATATATCATATTTAAATTATTATGATTTCCCTAATAACAAATAATTAGAAAAGTATTTTTCTAACTTTAACGATTTATTATATGGAATTTGTAATACTATGTAAATTTCTGCCAATATTAGGTGTAAAGTTATCCATTTATTTTCCAAAATGTTATGTTAAAATTAGATAAAAATATTAAGGGTTAATTAATTACTATTTACTCCATGATATACATTAATATTGATTAAATAGCACTTAATTGAAATATAATTTATATTTTTACAAAAAAATATAATTAAATTTTTCTTATCATTTCTCAACACATAAACTGTATATTGTGTTCATGTCATAAACAGTCTCACAAACGACTTTAAATGTATTAAATTATTATTTTATTTTTGTTATTTAATACACTTTACAACTACTTGTTTCAAATAATATTATATGCATGTAGGGTGGTTCAATACATTACATTACATTTTGTATTGTATAGAAATTGAATGATTACAAATTTAAAAACATAAAATATTTATCCCAAAAATATCTAAAACCCATTTTTCTAAATTGAAATACTATACTGTACTAAAAAATAACATTTAATATTAATATATTCATTTAAAAAAACATTAATAATTTGTTTGTATAGAAAACACAATACAATATATAAATCTATTATAATTATAATTACAAAACATAAATAACTTAGAAATCCTTTAAAAGAAAATCACAAAAAGTTTATTTTATTTTTGTCACTGAATTTCGTAATACATATTGATTTGCAGTTAACGTATAAATGAATAAATGATTTCTATTTTCAGTTACAATCCATTCATCTACTGTTGGCTGAACAAGGACTTCAAGCAACGGGTGAAACGGCTATTCAAGTGCTCGTCAGCTCCCGGTGCGACTATCAATGGGGGCAACAAATCCGGTGCCGATCCTACCGATCAAATCACATGTCAGACCATTTGTGTCGCCAGTAATGACACTAACAATCCGTTGCCTATTAATAGCGAAATGCTGTGATCTATAGCCTATGATTATACAGAATATTCTTTAGACTTTGTATTATAGTAGAGAATATTCTGGAGAATCCTACGAATTGGTGCACCGAATGAACAAAAAATAATTTTTTGTGACACAAAAACTTTTATCATTTAATTTTAACTGTCATTAGAGATAGGGATGAGTGAGGCTGTACCGTAAGTTTCAGAGGGTTTACCGGTAGCTATCCATTCCCAGTCATCCCTGTCCACATAGACACTGGGCTTATATAATGAATGACTATTTTAAGAGCACTGTTTCTGGTGACAAACAAAATGAGACATTAATTTCCTTTTGTTAAGGATTAAAAGGCTAAGAAAAGTAATAAAAAATTAATTCCTATTATAGAAAATGGTTTGCACTTTAAAAGATTATATTATATTATTAATTATATTAAACGTAAAGGTTTCTATAAAATACTATTGTTGTATAACATAATGGTTATTGTATTGTATTTATTTAGGAAAATAATATTTTTATCTAAATGTATATTTAAATCGGTTGTTGCTTACGATTTCTCATAAAAGAGTTTATAATAAAAGGGATTTGAAAGAAAATTTGTTTCCCGATTATTTCCACTAAAATGACTAAATTGTTCAGATTAAAAACTAGAAATAACTGTTTATGTAAATAAAAAGTTTCATAATATTTGTTATTAGTCTTGCAACGAAAATATCCAAATTCAATAGAGATAGCATTTTTCAAAGACAAATCGTACAAAAGGCTTATTATAATGTGTGTGTGTGTGTGTGTGTGTGTGTATGAGAGAGAGAGAGAGAGAGAGAGAGAGAGAGCTACAAAGACTCATAGAAATACATTAAATTCAATTGATTTTAGTGTTCAAATGACGTAAATTACTGAATATTTTTAGGATGATTGACATGACGGCAAACATTTGTTACAATTATTATACTGTATTATTTAGTTTAGGATATTATCATATTTCACTTTCTAACAAAAATTGAAAGCTTTGAGTTAAACGTGAAATAAAAATAAAAACTAAGAGATTTGAATTGAATAGAGGTTTATATATTTTTGCTTCAATATATAGAATAAATATTTCATATAAAGAAATTTGATTTTATTTTTATATCATCTATTGAAGCAAGGTATATACAGTATATATAAAGCTTGCATTATTAAGAATAAACGAATATATTGTGAGATTAGGGAATATTCTTAAATTAAGAATCTTAGCTAATGATTAATTTGTCGATTTTAGACTATATTATATAAATTGGTTATTCCGTATAAATGATTCAACACTTATTTAAATTAAGTATTAATATAAATTATAAATAAATGACTAGTTCCCTGGTTTAAACATGTGGGTATTTAAGCTATTACAGTACAATAAGATTATAGTAAATTCGTTAACTTTATTATAAAATATAAATTTCATAAATACAGTAATAATATTAATATAATTTAGAATAGTTTTCATGTGAGTTAAGTTATATGAAAAACTTATATCCAACCAAGGTAGTATATATTTTGGTAAACAGCAAAAAATATTAAAACTAAAAAACTGAAATAATAATCGGAAAATTCCGTCCATTTGTTGAAAATAATAAAATGAAATTAAAAATAAATTCAAACTGAAATAAAAGTTTTATTGCACATATACCCAGAAACTACTGGGAATTACACATGACAGGCATTTTCAGTCTATATACAGACATATGAAAAACCATTAAAAACTTTTCCATTTTAATCTATATTTTAAATTTTCTTTTTTCATCATTTGGTACACTCTGTGAATCGCGAATCAAATCCCGAAATAAAGATTATATTTTGTCTGCCATTAAAAACATATAAAATAAAAATTAAAACTATTTCTTAGAAAGCATTGTAACCTAAAACCTATTGTCAAATATTATGATTGAAATTCTGGTCATAATATTTTTTTTGTGCATATTTTTAGGCACTCCATGTATTCATGCAAATAAAGTCTAAATTTTATTAAAATAGTATTAAATAGGCTATAAATTATGCTTTTAATGTGAAATGATAATGTATTCATAAAATATTAAGTAAAATTTATTCATTTATTATATTATAATAAAATACGAAAATATATTCTCATTTAAATCATACAAAAATAAAATTCACTTATATCGGGTGTCCCATCGTATCAGGACTACTTTAAATTTAAATTAAAAATATTTACAATTATATTATATTATAATACAACAAAAACTATACCAAGATGTTGGAAATTTATTAATATTCTATGTGGAATTTATAAAATATTCATGAATTGCCTACCCTGGTCATAATTATAGTTTTACTGCATGCATGCCTATTTTTTTCATAAAAAAAATCGCGAATTTCTTTCAGCATAAACATTGATTCAATTAATGCGAGCATTCAATGACAGTTGTATTCCTATGGTATTACGCAAAATAGACATTCATGCATTGTAACTCAAATTATGACCAGGGTAGGCATTTTATAAATATTTTGTAAATCGTACATAAAATATTAATAAATTTCCAACATTTTGGTATAGTTTTTGTTGGTATAATATAATTGAAATAGTTTTAATTTTAATCTAAAGTAGTCCTTATAAGATGGGACACCCATTGTATACATACTGAATAACTAATATTGATTTTTTAATTTCGTAGCAAACTTTTGGGTTAATAAGAAAAATCTCGCAAACAATAGCAACATCTGTAACACAGAAATACACATTATATTAAAGTATAAGTGAATTAATTTAATTAAATGCAAATCATAAGCTATGGTTCAGTTTAACACATTATATAATAATGTCTCATACATTAAGCGCTACCATAGGAGTCATCACAAACTGTTTGCTACACGAGAATCCAATCCTTATATGATTTGTTGCACACATTCTCTCCATTGTATTCATTAACTAAAATAATACCATAATATTAGATACAAAACAGGCATACTTTAGGATAATTATTATTGCCAAACACACACACATGGATTACATTCAAATAAATTGACAAGATTACATTATACTAAAATTTAATACTTTTAACTTATCTCTAACCGTATGCAAAGTCTTACGCAAATAGATTTGAACTGAAAATAATTTATTATACGGTTTGCAAACACCAGTTGTAATAGACGCGGTGATTAAATTGATTTTGATTTGTGAATATAAGGACCCAGTTAAAAATAGTATAGAAGTTATGGCTATAGATGCTATAAGGTCCTCCAAAAATACCTGGTGGATGACCAGTAGGTTAATCGGTATTATGGTATACGTGAATAAAAAGTAATACTGAGACCAAAACCTATTATAATCGGCGATATCATTGCATATGACGTTATGCTCCCGAAGTCTCGCATATAATTGGCGTTTATTTATGAAAAGTTTGCGATTCGTGTTAAATGTGGTCATGATTTTCGTGTTAAATATATTGAGTCTGTGCTTAAAATACAGACAAATGACCAGAAAATACAGGAATGTATAGAATATGACAAAATTACCGCAAATATAAAATGCAAAAAATCTCAATAAACTTAATGTGCCGTAAAATGGGCTCAAATGCAGCGATCGTACGAATACCACAACACTTGTAATGAAGAGTAATATAAGGGAATAGGAGTTTAATTTAATAATAACTGTGAAAAAGCGGAAAATTACTGCCAATTTGCGCACAAACACCTCATAATCCTTATAATACTTAATGGACAGCCCAATGACTTCGAGGGGTTGTATGCCTTTCAGCACTTTTATCACATTTAGCCACCGATTGTATGGACTATAATTCAATAGACATAATGATAGCAATTGTTGTGTCAATGCAAATATGGCACATAATAACCAAAACTCTGTTAAACCTCCAAAATATTGGGTTATTTGACAATAATATTCTGGAAGTTCTCCATTCCTTACATTTAATAGACATATGAAATAATGCAATAAATTGATGGACAGTATCGACAATAATGTGTATGATTTTAGTCGCTGCTTACGTCTCGTAGATTTTGTGCCGAAATAATCCCTTAAATCATGTGTGTATAGGAGACCGAACTTATAAAGCGGTAAATCTATGTAATCCATGCTACCGGTGCTCTTAGTTGATAATTGATATTTATTTGCCACTTGTGTTGACATTATAATTGGATAATAAGTATAATAATAATATTATCTCGATAGGTGTCAACTCACTATACATTAAGGGCTATTATAATAGTTGCGCTATTTATAATCATTATTAATAATGAATGCACTAATCCATCATTAAAGTGCTTCAGTATATTGAGTGTATATAACACACAGAATATTCTTTCGCAAATTCTGTATTATAATGACAATAAGCTTTAATTAAATAATTAATGAGCTATTTGCAAATAGATTAATAAGAATTTACATATTTATAGTTTCTATTCATTATAAATAACTGACAATCACTAAAAACTTTTTAACTAATAATATTTAAAACTAGAAATATGAATATAAAAATTATTAATCAGCTTAATAAAAAGTATGATAATTAAAATGAAGTTATTACGCTGAGCTTTATTACCGACTTACCTTTAGGCTAAATAATAGTCAAATGATTTATAAATGCTAAAACGTTGAGTTCATTACATATTTGACAGTAAATACACTTTGTATAAATATAATCCGGATCAAGTAAAGTGCCTTTCCCTTACAGTAAATTATTTGTAAAACATTCCTGGATCTATACAATGGACTCCATAGTCCTGGACTCTATACGAGTAATACATGCAATTCTCAGTGAGCACCGGTGTGTTATATTTTTATTTCTAATATTTTCTTTTCCAGTCATATAATCCCAATTCGTATTAATCTTTAAATAACGCTTGAATTACTGGTAAAAGACATTCAATAAACTTATGTAATTCACGTGACTATACACTTGATAAAACTGGATAAGATTTATATGCATTGTACAGTATATGTTATAAAATAGGTTATATTTTCTATCAAAAATATTCTGTATATTGGCTTACAATCCGTCAAATGCGAGCAAAACTATAGCTATAATTCTCGTGACATTTGCTTATAAATAGCGAAATAAAGAAGAAATAAATATTTTATTACAAATTCTGTTCAAATTAATACAATATATTATATTAAATATAATT